GCCACGTTCACAGCATCCATACCCAGCCTCCCTTGCAACAGTCCACTCTGTATCCAGATCTTTCCCAGGGAACACCACAGTCAGAATTTGTTACTGGCCCCATTTGGTAGGTTAGCTGAGATTCAGAGAGAGTTTCTGGTTAGGCAAAGGACCTGGGCTCTTAGATGAAGCATCACCCTAGTTATCAGCGTGGACCCAAGGGCCCTGGAGGTCTGTCGTGAGCTCTACAGTTTGCTCTGATTGTCTCTATCATCACGGGACCTAAATGGAGGCCTAGAGAAGGGGCCCCACCCCTTTGGTTGTTGTTGTTTTGAGACAGTTTCTCTGTGTAGCTCTGGCTGTCCCAGAACTCACTTTGTAGACCAGGCTGTCCTCAGAGATCCACCTGCCTCTGCCTCCCAAGTGCTAAGATTGGTGTGCGCCACCACTGCCCACATGGCCCCCCTTTGAAGGCTTTGTTTGGCCTGGAAGCTGCGTCACTGAGGGGTCAGGGCCTGGGCAGGAGTGAGATACCTTCAGCCGCTTTTCACACAGTGCTCTTCAGATCTGTATCAGTTCTACCGTGGACACCACCTACATTCCTGCCTCATGGTTCCAGTGTGTCTGGTCCAAAGTCACCCTGAAGTCTCGCCTTAAAAAGAGAGACGGTCTCTCGGCCCCTCACATATAAGCAGTTGTTTTTCCTGATCATTCTTGATAAGGATGAAGGAGACACTACCGGGATCCGCAAGGGTAAGACCAGGCCCATGCGGACCTCACAGGCTGTCCTTCAGTCTAGCAATTTTACTCACAGACATTTGGTCGAGGCGAATCATCTCTGCGCCCTAAAGGATGTCTACCAGAACCCCACTTCTGATCCTGAAAAATCAGTTCACATGTGTGCCCTTCACTGAGGCTGAGAGAAATAAAACAAAGCAACAAATGCAGTCAGACACCAGGATATAATCCAGGAGGGGGCCATGGATGCACCCTTGGCATCTTGGATGCCCGTCACTAGGCTTGCAGTACAAAGAGTCCTCATTCAACCCCCACAGCTGTGAGTAAAGTGACACATTTGGCCTGAGGTGACCCCAGCAGGGCCGTCATCATGCTCTGATCCCCTGGCTTTAAGTATTTCCCTTACACTACCTTTCATAACTTGGTCTGCTCCTATCTGTAGAGTTCCCTCACAAGGAGCAAGGAAAATATCAGGAAGCTGTACGTAAAAGGAGCAGGTGCAATTTACATTTTGTTATTTTTGCCAGTCTGTCAACATGACCTCTTTTGTAAGCAGAAAAAGGGAATTTTACAGTTATTAAAATGGAGCCAATCAGACCGGCTTGTGCTGAGCTGGACAGGGAAGAGTATAGAGTGCAGAAGTATTGGGTATGGGTCCTTGCCTTGTGGCCAGGAACTGGCTGGAACTGGAGGCAGCCAGAGGGAGGGGCCCACTGGGGCCCAGGTCCTGGAAGGAGCAGGCTTGTTGGAAAGGCCATTTCAGCCGTGTGGGTCCCAAGAGAGCCCTCTTCCCGGGGACATGTACCTAGAGTCCATCACTAGTCTAGAAAGGTTGGTTATAACAAGACCCTGCCCACTTCCAAATAAGAGTACAGTCTGAAAACCCTGTTAATCCTGCCATTACTAAGGCAAACGGTCCTGTGGCATGCCGTCCCCTCCATTGGAGACAGGCCGGGGGCTTTCTGTGAGAACCACAGAAGGGAATTGGCCAAGGACTGGTTCCAACCAGGGCTCCCAGGTCCAGGCTGTCCCATCTGCCACATGCAGGGGAGGGAAGTGAATCAGACGTGGTCCTGCCCACCTGGAAGCTGGCGGGAAATTCCACAAAGCTCCTTCAGGAAATCTTTGTTTCCTTCCATGAACTTCTGCCAAATCAATTTTGTTATCAAATTTTACAGAATTCTGTGTGTGTTGAGACCCCGTAAGAGTTCTCAGTCCTTTTCAGTCTGTGGAGTGGCAGGCATGACTCCTACCCTGTGAGGCTTTGGCAGCTGAGGCAACCAAGCAAAAGCCCTTAGTTCCATCCCTGTGAGTGCTGACTATCGTTCTTATCACCAGGGGTGGGTATGCCTTGCCACCCCGAAGCACAGGGAGTGTTCGTCTCTTTCACATCTGCCACCTAAGGCCCTCAACCCTGGGCAGATATGCCTGATGATGAGGCTTAGTCATGACATTCCCCTGCCTCTGAGGGTGTGAGCATGACTGTTGTTCTGTGCCCAGGTTCCTGAGAAGTCCGATGGCGCCTCAGCAGCAAGCAATCGAATGGTGTGGAGATGAGCCTTTGGCCCTGGTCCCTCCCCTTGCACAATGGGCTCCATCATTTGTATTTTCTTAGGTCACCAGCACTTTTACCCACTGAAGGGCTCTGAAGACACATCTTGGGAAGACAAGATGTCCTGATAGGCGGGTGACAGTGATCTGACTCTCTAGTCTGTGGCTTTGGTGGTTTGGCCATATTTCAACAGCCCCTGAATGAATTGGTGATCCACTCTAGAGTCACAGGATCTCATTTGGCTGTCCTTAGTCTAATGACAACACAGACACAGTCCAAATTGAGTGGGACCAGTTTCACCCTCTTCTGTTCTCCATTCTTTGGGGGGGGTTGCCTGAAGCTTGCAAGCTAGGTTGGAGGCATTGATGATGAAGAGTCTAAGTTAAAACATTTTTTTAGTTGTTTCTCTGTATTGCTTTGGAGGCTGTCCTGGACTTGCTCTATAGACCAGTCTGGCCTCCAACTCACAGAGATTCACCTGCCTCTGCCTCCTGAGTGCTGGGATTAAAGGCGTGCGCCGCCAACGTGCACCTTCTGTCAGTGGTAATGGTGACAAGCTCTTGACTCAGACACACTGAGGTTTAAACCCTCGCTCATCAACTGTGACTCTGAGTTCAATATCATCCTCAAAGGCCACAGTGTCCGACAGCTAAAGGAAGAGACTTCTCCATCAGGGGAACCGTTTGAAAGACCCCAAGATGCTACCTGGAGCCACAGTGAGGCTCCACGGGAGATAGAAGTTGGGAAACAAAGGTCGTAACACAGAGGGGCCTAAGGAGTGAGTCAGCCCCAAGCATTAGTTTATGACAGGGAGGGAGTCCCACAAGCCTGGTGGATGCTCTGTGTCACCATAAAAGAGGCCTCACCTGGGAAAAAGACATCATCTTTTGGGAGTCCTGATGACCTCTGACACGCTCCTCAAGCTCCAGCCAAGTCTCACCCAGCTGGGACAAATGATGGGATTGGAAGGGAAGTTAGCCCCAAAGACGGGGAGGGGGAGGTCCCCACTGGGTCATTCTGATGCCCTGCTTGAACCCTGAGGGGTTGACATGGGTGGGATTTACAGAAAATAAAATACAGGCCACTTTAACTTGTTCTACCAGTTTTTACCCCCACTTCCATTAAAAAAAAAAGCCATTTAACTGTTTTAAGGCTCCAGGTTTCCCTTTACAGAGACAATGGGCTTTAGGGGAATTGCTCTCACTAAGGAGCCTGAGCCCTTTAGCAAGTCCCCCTCCCCTGTGCCCGACATTGTAGCGACAGCTCTCATAGTGTCCTAGTCCTCTGTCAAGTGGGGCAGCTGAGGCCCAGGGCAGCAGAGACTGGCTTCAGGAGAGTGTAGAGCTGGGATCTGGGTGAGTCCCTGGGCTCTGCAGAACCGTGGCTGCAGCCAGCGATGATTTCACACACAAGCCTGATGGAGTCCCTTTGGGGAGCTGCCCAGACTAAGGGATGCAGACCTTCCCAGTTTGCTTCCCAGTAGACCTAAGTGGCCACCTTGGAGTACTCCTACCTCATGCTCTGTGTGTAGTAAGGCGCCAGATGCAGGCACAGAGAGTGGGGTTTGCCGTGGCTGTCCCATCCTGTGGCCACCGGCGTCCCTCCCCCTTTCCCACAGAGTCTTTCACGCCACACTTTGTCTCTGCGACTGCCTGGAGAATGGCCTGTCCCTCTAACTCCAGGTTCTTTTCTCCAACTCAGACCCCCTGGGAAGTTTGACTTCTTTCTCCTGGCCTTGACCTATTTCAGGGTTCTCTGACATCTTACCAGGGAACCCCGCAAGGCATCCCGAGGTTCTGAAGCCACGACTCTCCTGGAAATGGACAAGGCAATTAATCCTACACAGTCCAGCAGTAAGAAGCCCGCTTTTTGCTTTATTTTTTAAAATTTCTTTAACCCAGGACTTTGCTTTTCTATCCTCCATGCATTTCTGTAATAACCAATAGACCTGGCATGGAGTTGATCTTGTATCTATCAATTGATAGCCTGCTTCTCAGGGTTGAGTCACCAGCCTCGAAAATAAGATCAGGCCTGACCAGTCAAATCCTTAGGGAAAACATAATACAGAAGATTTTTCTTAAGATATGGTAAGAATGTTACCAGAAAACAAGAATGTTCCAGAATTTGGGGTTGAGGATAGAATTTGGAATGGCCAGCAGGCAAGATTTACCAACACCCCCCCCAGCCAAAGCTGGGGATGAAATATAAGGGACAATAATCTGAGTCCCAGAAACAATCAATGAATGAACAGCAGCCAGTGAAAACCTCTGCCGGTGAAGCCAAAAGAGCCTACTCCCATCCTCACTCTGAGACTCCTCCATTTTATCCGGTGCTTGAAATACAGAATTCTCTCAGATCATTTCAGGGAAGCCACAAACACATTCCAGGGAATGCCCAGGCTAGTCCTGTACTCCTCACTCTGGTCACAGGTACCCTTTCCATGTCTCCTCTCTTCCCACCTTTTCCGAATCTACCTCCTTTGCCTCTCTATTCCCCCTCTGCTTCCGATGCTGCTTAAACCATCCATGGTTTGCAGGCTCTGCCCACACCCCCTGTGAAAGGATAGAGGCCTGGTACAAACAGAGGACATTCAGAATGGTTCTATGTACATGAAGTCTAAGACTGATTAGGTATGGGAGCACACACCCGGAATCTCAGCAGTCAAGCAGTACAGGCAAAAGGGTTGTGTGTTCAAGGCCAGCCTGAGCAGCAAGACTCCCTCAGAAATGGAGTGCTCCCTTTGGCAGAACATCTATTAAAATCGGGACGACACAGAGATGACTGGTGTGTCCTCTGTGCCAGGAAGACACGCAAATTCACAAAGCTGATGTTTTTGGCTGAGCATGGTGTGCATGCCTTTCACTCCACTTGCGGGGTAGAGGCAGGTGATCCCTGTGAATCTGAGGTCACTCCCACCTACATAATGAGTTCCAGGCCAGCTGGGGCTACATAGTGAGACCCTGTCAAAAATAAAAATGAAAACACTAAACCATTAGGTAAAGATCAAAACTGTGGCTTCTTTGGGGGATATAACAACTAACTCAAAGGGGCACAATGTGCACTTTTGGGCAGTCTGGGTAAAAATCTAGATCTTGATTCTGATAGTGATTGCATGGGTGGATCCCTCTGCCAAAGTTTATTCATGTCTGCTTCGAAAATCTATTTGTTTCACCTAGTTTGAATTTAAAAATAAAAATCTTACTGCTTAGACTTCCCCATCATGAATTCTCTCTTCTGTCTATTAATTCTGTCAAAGCACTCTGTCTACACAGAAGTTTCCCTGCAGGGGTGAGCAGAGGAACTATGACTCTATCATGGGGCTTGATATAATGTATAAAGTGACAGCAGAGGCCAGCTCTTACTAAAGCAAGCTCTGTCGACCAGATGACCTGGGTGCCGCCGTGCTCTGGCCAGCATTTGTAACCTATGGCTTCTCCACTGGACAACAGGAAGGCCCATACCTCAGTTTACCTTTTCACATAGGCACCATCACATCCAGTATTTGTTATTGTATGCAGGGTTTTGATCACATTCAACTGCCCTGCTTTTGTCTCCCCTGCCCTGTTCTCCCTCCCCTTCCCTAAGGATGGATCCTTTCCATACGTTGTGTCAAAGGGACCTGCAGAAGGAGGGACCCCTTCCCCGCTACTCTGTCCCTGCAGAAGGAGGGACCCTTCCCCGCTACTCTGTCCCTGCAGAAGGAGGGACCCTTCCCCGCTACTCTGTCCCTGCAGAAGGAGGGACCCCTTCCCCCTACTCTGTCCCTGCAGAAGGAGGGACCCTTCCCCACTACTCTGTCCCTGCAGAAGGAGAGACCCCTTCCCCCTACTCTGTCCCGGCAGAAGGAGGGACCTTTCCCTGCTACTCTGTCCCTGCAGAAGGAGGGACCCTTCCCCCTACTCTGTCCCGGCAGAAGGAGGGACCTTTCCCTGCTACTCTGTCCCTGCAGAAGGAGGGACCCTTCCCCGCTACTCTGTCCCTGCAGAAGGAGGGACCCTTCCCCCACTACTCTGTCCCTGCAGAAGGAGGGACCTTTCCCCCTACTCTGTCCCTGCAGAAGGAGGGACCCTTCCCCACTACTCTGTCCCTGCAGAAGGAGGGACCCCTTCCCCCTACTCTGTCCCTGCAGAAGGAGGGACCCTTCCCCCTACTCTGTCCCGGCAGAAGGAGGGACCTTTCCCCCTACTCTGTCCCTGCAGAAGGAGGGACCCTTCCCCACTACTCTGTCCCTGCAGAAGGAGGGACCCTTCCCCACTACTCTGTCCCTGCAGAAGGAGGGACCCCTTCCCCCTACTCTGTCCCTGCAGAAGGAGGGACCCTTCCCCCTACTCTGTCCCTGCAGAAGGAGGGACCCTTCCCCCTACTCTGTCCCTGCAGAAGGAGGGACCCTTCCCCACTACTCTGTCCCTGCAGAAGGAGGGACCCTTCCCCACTACTCTGTCCCTGCAGAAGGAGGGACCTTTCCCTGCTACTCTGTCCCTGCAGAAGGAGGGACCCTTCCCCACTACTCTGTCCCTGCAGAAGGAGGGACCCTTCCCCACTACTCTGTCCCTGCAGAAGGAGGGACCTTTCCCTGCTACTCTGTCCCGGCACCATCACTGCTACTGGGCTTTGCCATTATTGCTCAAGTTTAAGCAATTGTTCTTAGCAGTGGAGTTTCTTGTGGAGAAACTGTGAACTCCCCGGGGAGAGGACAGGAGGTGGAAGTTCCCACATTCCCTTGTATCTCTTGTGCCTCAGACATTCTGTTCACAGAAGACACCCAAGAAGTGTTTGGACTCCTCTCGGGAGCCACACAAGACTTTTTCAGTGTCCTTACAGCCGATTCTCAGTAAACCTCCCCAACCAAGAATTGTCCCTGGATGAAACTTAGAGAGTCTGTGCTGAAGAAGTGAAGGCTTGGCAGAGGTACCACATTGCCAGGCAGAGGGTGAAGCGCAGGGTCGGGCGGCTCGTCTACCCACATAACACACAAGAAAGCTCTGAGGCAGGATGCCTGGGTTACACTGTATTTTGGCTGTTGTTCAGGGTTTGCTGCTTCAATTTTGGGACATGGTTTTCCCCAATCCACCAGATGTGACAGTAACAGAGTTCTGTTTCTGTCCTGCTGCCAGCATTTCTGGGTGACATATGAAGCACCCTGCCCATCCTAGAGACAGGTTTGCATGGTATTGGAGGAGATGGACTATCTCAGTTCAAAATCCTTGCTGTCTCTGGGGCATTGATCCCACACCATCTGGGCAAAAGGCTTAGGACCCTCGCTAGGCACCCAGAGAGCCCTGGGCCTCAGTGGGGGTTTTCTTTTTCACCCATTGGGAAGTAGGAAGCAAGCAGAGATGTAAACAACCGGAAAGAAAAAAACCTGGAGTTGACCCCAGGACTTCCTGACTCAGGAATATTCTCCTGAGATGTTAGAGGCAGGGCATAGGCTGTCTGATCTAGTTTCTTTGCCTGGCCCAGACCTGGGCCTCTCAGAGAAGCTCAGGGACTAGCTCCCGGGATGGGAGGCAACAAACCCTCTCATGTAGCTGCTTTGGGAGGGAGCCCAGGAGCTTCTGGGTGCTCCAGCCAAGGCAGCCAGCCACGCAGCACGGCCCAGGCCAGGTGCCAGCTGAAGGTATTGTCATCGGCCGCTCCAATTATTCCTTTTGTCTGATAATTCCAGCCATGGGTCCCCTCCCAGGGGGAGGTCATCTACCCACTCCTGCCCGAACTTGTCCTCACTGTGGCTCCCCTAGGTGCCAGAGTGACTCTCAGAATGACTGCTCCTCCCAGACCCTTCCCCTCACCTCGCTTCAGGGCCACTTTTGGGTAGAGTGAGCTGAACTAGGGCCCTAGGAGGAAGGGTCCCCACTTCCTCAGAATATCTTTAGGCTTTCTCTTTTTAAAAAGGGCACAATATTATTTAATCTAATTTGTAAAAAAAGAATTGCAAAGTGTATGAATATAAATAATTAATTGTGTACTTTATAATCTTTATTGTATAAATCCAAAATCTGCAATTTTCATTACAACACACCTCATTGGAATATAGAAACAAAAACATGAAAACAGCCATGGATGGACACAAACAGATACCCATCTACTGATGAGTAAATGGACGAACAAAATGGGATATGATCATCCTTTTGGAATATAATACAGTCACAGAATCTTGGAAACATACTTATTAGGGCTGGGGGTGTAGCTCAAATGGTAGACTGCTTGCTAGCATTCCCAAAGCCCTGGGTTCAATTCCCCAGCACTGCTTAAAACCAGGACATGCACGTAAGCCCAACACAAAGGATGTGGAGACAAGAATATCAGAAGTTCCCCAGATACTTAGAGTTTGAGGACAGCCTGTGTTGCCTGAGAACCTATTTCAGAAGAAGGGAAGGAAGTAAAGAAAGTTAAAAAAAAAAAAGGCAGATTCCAGAGCAAGTTCCAGGACAGCCAGGACTGTTACACAAAGAAGCCCTGTTTCAGAGAGAGAGAGAGAGAGAGAGAGAGAGAGAGAGAGAGAGAGAGAGAGAGAGAGAGAGAGAGAGAGAGAGAGAGAGAAGTCAGAGTCAGTCACAATACACTGATTGAATGACACCGCCATCCCCCCCCCTTTTGATTGTTTTTTTGAGACAAGATTTCTCTGTGTAGCCCTGGCTGTCCTGAAATTCCTTCTAGAGACTGGGTTGGCTTCACTCTTAGAGATCCTCCTGCCTCTGCTTCCCAAGTGCTAGAATTAAAGGCATGTACCACCACTACCAGGCTATGAACCCACTTTCTTGTTTGTTTGGGGGTTTTGTTTAGTTATTTGTTTTTGTTTTTGAGACAGGTAGCCATGGCTATCCTGGAACTAGCTTTGTGGACCAGGCTGGCCCAGAACTAAGGAAATCTGTAGGGATGGGAAGACTGGTGGCTCTAGGAGCTTGGGGCAGGAGGGCACGTGTAACGGTTATTCATAGCAATGGAGCTTCCTTGGGTTTGGAATTAAGATAGTGGCTTCAAAACCTTGTGACTATACCAAGACCACAGACTTGTGCTTTAAAACAGTGAATTTAGTGACATATTACGTCTCAAGGAAAACAAATAGCAACATTAGTACTGTCAATACAATAAAGTTGTGTTATGCCTATGTGATGTCCAAACTTAAATTCTTTAAGAAAAATGTAAAATTTAGGTCTTCAGATGCAATCAGTATATGCAGGTGATAGCCACAGGCAAGTGGTAGCCACACGGAGCTGGTGGCTTCAGTACTGTGTAGCGGAGCTCCAGGGTTCTGAGTGGCCATCCCCAGGCAAATCCCAAAGGGGCAGGAGACAGGCTGGCACCAGGCAGGAATGAAGCTGCTTCTCAGAGAGCCCCTGTCCCTCCCACCACTGTGTTACCCACCGTGTCCATCTTATCGTTTCTGTGCACCAGCAATTCTGCCTTGCAGGTGAAGAGATCCACTCGATGGATGGGGATTTTTGAAATAGATTCTTCTTTGACACGCAGACTAAAGCTTCCTCTTTGTGGTGGGTTTTAATCCGCAACCGAGCTAAGAGCAGTCACAAAACATGGTCTGCAGGCCCGTGTGCTGCCCAGAGATTGCCCACAGCCTGCTCATTCATCCTTGTCACGATCCAAACCAGTGGGCACCCAGCTCCCCTTTGCCCAAGTCCACACAGCTCAGTGGCAGAGCTGGGGTGTGTGGGGCTGACACAGACACTAATGGAGCATGTAGCCTGTCCCTGTTTTGCTAGGTAATGTATCTTCGTCTGTGTTGTGAAGGGATTGGGTGCTGAGGACCCAGTCCAGTGGTGTGACAGTACAGGCTTGTGCCTCAGCTTACCTGCTGGCCTGTCAGAGAGTCAGATGCA